GACTTGTTACTTACAGAGTTGGTGTACTCACATTACTCCATGCACCTCGTGTATAGATCCAGGCGATACCGGTCGTAGCGGCGGTTGCTGATTGAGGATCCTAGAGTTTTGGAGACTATCAAGGTAGCTGCACGGCGTTTGCGGGCCTTGACTCTCCTTCTTTATCTTTATCGTACTTTCAGTTTATATCTCTAGACACTGTAGTAGACTGTATTTCTGATCTAGACGCTCATGTACTCAGTGACACCCTGGTTTTGGGCTGGATTGTATCACTTTGGGATTTTCTTATGTTTCAAATAGTTTTTCTTTAATGCTAAATGCTTCCGTTAACGTTTTCAATCTTAATATTGTTGGTGTTGGGTTGTTGAGTTGAGACTGGCCTAGATCCACGATAGGCGCCATCACGACGATTGATTTATGGGTCGTGACACCCCAACAGTAAGTTTTCTAGGAGCAGTTGCTGGAGGTGCATTTGGAAATGCACCCCTGCCAAATCTAGTGTTGTTTCCCCTTCCTCTGCCACTGCTTGTATTAGTTGCTGTAGATTCTTGAGTTGCTTGACTTTCTTGGCATTGTTGAGTTGCTTGAGTTGACTGTCTACTTGTAGACTCTCCCATTCCACCCTAAAAAAATTCCAATTATAACACATATATAAGTTAGCATTTGAAGTGAATAAAAAGGTGAAAAATATTACAACATACCCTTGATTGGCATGTAGACTTGTTATGGCCTGCTTGATGACATTTTGAACATGTCATCTTAATTTATTGCTTAGAGAGCTTGCCATACTACTTTTTCTTAGGCTCATTCTTGGCCTTTCTTCTTTTCTTTTGGGGCCTGCCTGGCATTGGCTTTGGTGCAGGAGGCTCAATTACCATATTATTAGTGTCAGACCACATCTTCATGTTGAGGATTGGTTCAAAAAAGTATTGATATACCTTGAGAAATGTCTTCTTTCTATACCAGTGATCCACATAATTGTATGGTTATTCTTCTTGGTGATAGATTGCACATATTGCATGTGCACAAGGGATCCCTCTTAACTGCCAGGATCTACAAGTGCATGTTCTTATCCTCAAGTTCACTATATATTTGTATTCATACTCATCAACCTCAAACCCATCAGTTCCAATCCACAAAATTTTGAATTTCCTACAAAAACTCCTTATTTTCATCAAGAATCACCCTTCCACAGGAGAAATGTTTGTAATCCAAGTCTCTGCAAACTTTATCATATCAACATGTCTCCTAACTACTTTATGTCTAATGTCCTCTAACATGCTAATAATAGACTTGTGCCTATGTGCCATTATCTAAGAATTAAAAAGTCTCACATATATTATTTTCTACAATATCACATTTAGAGTGTTCTAGGAAAAAAGCTTTTTACCAATATTCTTTGTTATACTTCAATAAGTTTTCACATATACCTTTTCCAAGCTTTCCCAAAGCATCTAGTTCTTCTTCCAACTTCACCTCAAAACTAGCCTTAGAACACCTCCAAAATTGCTTTCTCATCTCCTCACCTCTCCAAGTTTTTGACCAGTTAGACCATATGTGCCTAGCATACATTCGATGCTCACAATTTGGCAATAACTCTTGAATTATTAGTACCAATCCCTACAAAACAGCAATAAATCAAACAGAACCCCCCAAAAGTTGAGATGAAGTAGAAATTTAAAACAGAAAGTAGAGATGACTAAGAAAGTTAAAACAGAAAGTTGAGATGAAGTAGTAAGTTAAAAAAGAATGTAGAGATAAAGTAAAATACCTATTGCATATCAAACATAACTGTTAATCCAGCTCCGTCTCCTAACTCCAAATCAGATATTAAGTTATTTATAAACCAACTCCAAGATGCTTTTGACTCATTGTCTATCATAACCCATGCAATGGGATATATTTGTTGATTCTCATTTTTCCCAATAGCTACCAACAATTCACTCTTACATGCTCCCTTTAGAAAACACCCATCAAATCCAATGATCTTCTTGCATCCTTCCAACCAAACTTTCTTCAATGCATCAAAGCAAACATAGAAATATTTAAATAGATTCTTTCGAGGCTCTGAAGTTCTGTCAGTTTTGACCAAGCAAGTGTTGCCAGGATTGGTTTGTGTAATAATATCAGCATAGTCACATAATCTAGCAAATTCTATCTCCCAATCCCCCATAAACTTCCTAAGAACTATCTGTTTTGCCCGGTAACATTTGGTTCTACCAACATATAAACATTTGTCTCTAACCAATTCTTGTGTTCCCCATATCCTAATATAGGGCTGAGAAGTGATCATATCTCTGAATTTGTTAGCAATATATTTAGAATTACAAATCTTGTTCTTGTTCATTGGAGTGCACTTGTGAATAGGATGATACTTCTTAACTATAAAATTCCTTGAATCCCTGTCAAGACTTGCAAATAAATCCCACTCGCAAATCTTAGATTTACATTTCACTCTCACCCAAGTTAGCTCATTAGGTTTGAGTTTCAACTATGCATGGTATTCAATAGCATAGTCAATTACCGCCTTCCTAAATTGATTGACATTCTCAAAATATCATGCCAAGTTCAAAAATAGCCACAACACAATTTGGATCGTATCTTAACTTTGTACTCTTCCTTCTACTTGGTAAATCAACACCAATTTCAGCTTTTACATCTAGCTCATCATCAGAATCATCACTACATATATCAGAACTATCAACATAGTCCTCATCCCCCCTAATTTACCAGTATATTTGTCTGCCTTGTTCTTGTCGGTGTCTTCAAAACCTTTATCTGTTTTTCCTTCTCCTAGAGGTACTTCTACATGTACAGTTGGTTTTTTACTTCTTATAGCCTTTAGCTTTGTTCTCTTTGCATTCTTGACAGCTATCAACTCTTCATCAGCATCACTATCATCTTCTTATGGTACAACATCAAAATCTGAGTCACTACTACTCTCCAAATCTAAAATAGTACCACCGAGATCTATAATATCACCTTCTACAACCTCTTCCCTCCCCACACCACTTAAATCAGCAGAAACAACTTCCCTAACAACCTCCTCCCTCCCCACACCATTTATATCAGCAGCAACATCTTTCCTAACAACCCCTTCCCCCCTCACACTATTTAAATCAGCAGCAACATCTTCCCTTACTTCAGTTTCAGCAGCAATATCTTCCCTCACTTCAGTTTCAGCAGCAACATCTTCCCTTACTTCATTTTCAGCAAAAATATCTTCCTTCTCTTCTATGTTTGTTTCCCTAGATGCGCCATTCACTTCAGTTACACATAATTCTGGACCACCAATAAGTCCAGTAGGTGCCACATCATCCACTAACTCAGCGTCTAGAACAATATGTTGAATATACAAATGTATCTCATCTTAATTTTTTAGGTTACACACAATATTAAATAATTGTGCATCACTATCCACATAGATAAAATTCTTATTTTTTGGGTCTTGGTAATAGAAGCCACTCACTGTAGCATATCCCATTTTTTAGTGTAATATAATAGTTCTGGAATTGAAAAGTGGTCTTTGTCAATATTAGCTATTAACACTTATTGTTCCCCCCCCCNTAAAGTCTGACATCACTGTTTTTAATATTCCCAAATTTTTTTTAAAAAAAAAACCCTAATTGTGGTCCCAAATCGGTCCCAACTCGCACAGAAGCCCACCACTAAAATGACTACAATACAAAATACTAAAAAGACTTTCCATTTCAGCACTTCAGTGATGAGTATCAAGCGACGCTTCAACATTTTAGTACTTCGATTGATGATGGTTCTTCAAGCACAGAAGGTAAATCGAACAAATATCAACCTATAGCACTGATTACCACCGAATAACGAACAAAAACGAAGTAGAATCAATGGACATGCATCGCTTTGGACGGATTTTACTGGAATCGAATTTGGGACTTGGGATTTTTTTTTGGTCGTTTGTCTTTAGGAATGTACCCTCCACTTCCAACCAAGAGGTTGTGAGTTCGAGTCACCCCAAGAGCAAAGTGGGGAGTTCTTGGAGGGAAGGATGCCGAGGGTCATTTGGAAACAACCTCTCTACCCCAGGGTAGGGGTAAGGTCTGCGTACACACTACCCTCCCCAGACCCCACTAGTGGGATTATACTGGGTTGTTGTTATTGTTGTTGTTGTTGTTGTTGTTGTCTTTAGGAATGTGTAAAAATGAGAGGGTTATTAGGAAGAGGGTAATTATATTTGGTTTTACTCGGCAAAGAAGTCTATGTGATATTGTAAATAAACGTGGAAATTTTTCATTGGTTACATTATCCATGCTGGCAGCGCATGATAACACGCGTGAAATTTTTTTATAAGCTTAGGTCGGACATGTTAAAATGGTGTGGTAAAGATATAGTAAAAGTGTTAGTTGAGGTGTTCAAGTAGAATTTTTGTGATAGTTAAAGTGTTTGTCTATATATCAATTTACATCCATCGTTATTGTATCATCTCATTCTCCGTTCCCAAAACATTATACTAGTTGTTTATTGAGTTGATTGTTCATATGGTCACTCTGACTATAGGTAATTGGTCATCAAAGTTATATATGAGTATTTTTTTTTTTGTAACAAAAGTCTCTTTACTTTACTTAATTAGCTTCAATGGTCATTTATCTTCTTCTTTTTTTATCTTCCCAAAGTCATCTTACTTTACCTAATTAGCTCAGTGGTAATCTTCATCGTATTTTATATTTTACGATGAGATTTACTAACGTGAATATTAATTAAGAACCTGGATCAATTTAGAACTCAACCCCAACTTAAATCGACTCAATACCTTGACTCATTCCTTTTTATTCTAATAAAGTGCCCAAGCAATTATATTTTTGTTTATTGTTTGGGGGTTAACACTTTTGCAGGCTAATAATGCCCAACTCTAGGCATCTATTTGGCTATTATGTCCACGCTAACAATTTCGAAAGGAGTAATAATTAGTAAAAGAATTTGAAAAAAAAGTTAATTAAAAGAATATTCAGGAAAACAAAAATTAAGAGATCCATCAAAACCAACAAATTCGTAGCGTAGCGTCTCATTCCCACTCTCACAAACAACCCAACACCTTCGAACGCATATCCCAAACTCACCACAATGGCGACTATCAAGTCCGTCAAGGCTCGTCAGATCTTCGATAGCCGTGGTAATCCTACGGTTGAGGTTCGTTCTCCTCCAAATCTCCGTCCGTTTCAGCCCTTTACGATGTTCCCTATATTACATTCTTCCTTTATCGTTCTATTTCTATGTTAAGTTTGTATATATAACATTCTGATTTCAGACAGGTGTAGTATATTAGTGTAAAATTGGTAATAGTTTAGTTACTACTTGATTTGTACATTGTGTAGGTTGATGTACATTTGTCAAATGGTGTCTGGGCTAGAGCTGTTGTTCCTAGTGGTGCATCCACTGGTGAAGTTCTATTTATTTTCCTTGTATTTATTTGAATTTTTACGTACAGCATGTATGGGTTTGGAGTATTTACGCAGACCTGCAAGCCATTGTCACAGGGGCGGAGCTAGCCCATCGGGTACAAGTTAGGCCGAACCCAATCACTTTGGTCTAATCCATGTATTTGTCTTAAAAAATCTATTGAATATGTACAAATTATAAATTTAGAACCCAGTAACTTAAAATGATTAGAACCCCGAACCTATAAGTTTCAAATCCTGGCTCCGCCTCTGGCCATTGATTTATATTATAAGTATGTTGCCACTAGGCCTTTGGTTTAGCGGTAAGTGCACATCGCAAATTTTTACCATGTCACAGAGACTTGGTATTTAAATGGAAAAGGATAGAGAGGTGGGCCCATTATCCATAAAGTTTGGAACTGTGGGCCACTAGGGATTTCTCATTTGCAAAAAAAATTATATTATAAGCAGTGGCGGAACCAGAAATTTCAGTAAGTGAGTTCAAAATATAAAGAAGTAAACATACGAAAAAGTCAAAGGGATTCAACATCTATAATATATACATAAAAATAACTGTGACCTGTATATATAATGTAATTTTTCGGCGATTAACTCCCTGGCTCCATCCCATGATTATAAGTATTATAAGATGATGATTGCTTTTAAGTTTTTAGCAAAATGCCATATCTTTTCCGAGTATGGCTTTGTTGATTTCACCCTTTCTTGTTATGAGTTTCTGTCTGGCTGTTTAGATAAGAAGAGTGACCAACCATTGCTCACTTTTTTAGGCAAATGTGTTTAGTATCGGCATTTTCATAGTATTTTCTTGAATTTTAAACCATTTGTATCTATAAGGATATTGCAAGACAATGTACTTTTAATTCGGATGGAAATGTGAAGTGTGTGTGTTTAGTTCTTGACATTGTAGCTTCCTCTGTTCCTAGTACCTTCTATTGAACTCTGTCGAATTCAATTTTGTCGTTCATTTAATAGGAATATATGAAGCCCTTGAATTGAGGGATGGAGGATCCGACTACCTTGGCAAGGGTGTTTCAAAGGTTGGTATTGCATCTCAGAACACATAATTGGTTGATATATCGTTCACTGCTGACTGCTGGTTTGCTCCCTTGTTCCACTCATTTAGGCTGTAAACAATGTCAACTCAATTATTGGCCCTGCTCTTGTTGGCAAGGTATATTTCCTCCTGTAATTTCTTTTACCTTTGAAGAGGATATTTCTTGGAGAATTTGATGGTTATTTGCTTGGTGTGAAAGAACACAATGCTTCTTATTATTGTGTTGAGTAACATTAGCGGATAAAGGTTTCTGTGCCTAATACGCGAGGTTCCCTTGCTTTGTAGGACCCAACTGATCAGACTGGTCTTGATAACTATATGGTTCATCAGCTAGATGGAACTCAAAATGAGTGGGGTTGGTGCAAGCAAAAGGTATCCAAGAATAAGCTTCAACATTAAGTTCACTTGTAAGTTGTAATTGTCAGAAGCGCACAAATTACCAATTTACTTGTGTTGGCTTTTTTGACAGCTTGGTGCAAATGCCATCCTTGCTGTGTCGCTTACAGTGTGTAAAGCTGGCGCTGCTGTCAAGAGCATTCCACTTTATAAGGTATATTAAACAATTGTTTTTTATAGAATCCAATGATCTTCTGTTGCCAAATAAGCGGAGTCCAAATGGAAAGATATTGACCCCAAACCTCCATCCATTTCTTCTTCAATGTGGGAACATTTTTGTATTTTGAATTTATTGTTCTACGTGTGGGGGTAACAATCTACTGTTTAAAGTTTGCTCAAATAGGTACTATTCCTATTACTATATTAGTTCTCCCCATCATAAGGTAATAGAATCGTGGCCACTTGTTCGCCCAAAAGAGAAAACAAAAGATCCAAACCTCCTTTCTCTTCTTTCCATATATCCAGTCTGAAAAAATATATGATTACGAGTTACAATTTGAGCTGCCTTCTCTTTGCAGCATATTGCCGATTTGGCGGGTAACAAAAAGTTGGTTTTGCCAGTTCCTGCTTTCAATGTCATCAATGGTGGGTCCCATGCTGGAAACAAACTTGCGATGCAGGTATGTATTTTCTCCCATTAAAAGATTTAGTGAAATGATGTTTAGATAAAATATATTCATTATTTGTTATTTACAGGAATTTATGATTCTTCCTGTTGGAGCTTCTAGTTTTAAGGAGGCCATGAAGATGGGTTGTGAAGTGTATCACCATTTGAAGGTTTCACATAGTCGTTCTAGCTTCTATTCCCTTAATATTTATTTGTTTCAAAAGTCAAGATGCTGTATAAGCTGGAGCAAGCTTCCGCATCCCTGTTGAGCCCTACTAAACATGAACTGTTAGTCTGGAATGTAGAGGGGACTCTCTTAGGCTGACCAAAATTTCCAATAAGGAAATGGTCATTCTAGGATAGTAACCGATTTTCAAATTTCAACTTTCAGTTTTTATTCTGATATTTTGAGTCTTGACAATTCTGAACTGGGAAAAGGTTCTTGTAGGCAGGGCATATCTTATTCTGACTGCTGGTTTTGTAACCGGATGTGCAGTTTGTAGACTTGTTGCTCGGGGAGAAAGTTTCATAATTCAATTAAAGATAGATGTTCGACGCTGCTATTGGCATAAAAATCGGTACACCATAAGTTAGCCCAACCCAGTCCTCTCATACTAGGGTTGGCTCCTCGCAGATCTTCCTTTTAACACCTAGGAGCACCCCTTCCTGCATCTCCATACAAACTACGCAAAAAGTAAATTTGGACTTCTTTTCTAAGCGGATCATTTGGACTATATAGACCTAAGCAACCTGCCGACAGTTATCGTTGTTAGTACATGTATAATCAAAGGCTTACCATCTCAACAGTTTCTCTTGATTTAATTGAATATTTTGTACTAATACTCTCTTAGAAAATTTCATTGATTTATATTTGTTCATCAAATTTTGTGTTTGATAAAAGTGGCATGTTGTATTATAGTCTATATGTTTCATATTATTTCACATATTCACCAAAGCCGACTTGAAAAAGATAAGTAACGACTTAAAACCAAACTTTAATAAGTTTTTTTGAACTTATTGTGTATGTTTTCGTCCGAATGTGTAATAGTTAACCATTTTCCATGCTTTTTTTCCATTCACAAAGACTTATGTAATATTTAAAAAAAATCAAAGATAATGTAATATTTAATTTTTTGAAATTCTCATAGCCTAGTAATCTCAATCTTCTTACCACTAAATGACAAAAATAATTCACTATATTTTGAAAAGTTCAAATTTATTTTGAAGCAAAACCATATCGTCGTACATTTTTTAAACTCTCATGTCTAGTAATTTCATTTTTTTACCACTAACTAGAATAGTAATACTTTCATACATTTAAATAGTTCAAATTTATTTTAAAGTGAAAAATGATTTAGTCCACTTGATGCCTTTAACTTTTGGGACTTAAACAAATGTTTTAATGGCACTTGGCTTGAAAGGCCCTTGCTGATCACCCTTTAGTATAAGAGATTTTTACTGTATATGAAACTTTATTACCATCATAAATCATATTTTTAATTCCTTTAAATATCTTTGAAATTTACTTCACACTTCAAGCCTAGGTTAGAACTAGCAAAATACGTAATTCAAGTTATAAAGGAGATTTTTCTATTAATTTATTTTCCTGAAAATAAAAAATGTTTTGCAAGGGGATCTTTACGCAAAGAGCTGTCTGTATTCAATGTTTACTTTTTCTAGTCATATATATTTTATACATTGATTATACATACTTATACATATATAATACATAAATTATGCTTATATTATACCTTCACGACCTATTTTCAGTTTAAGCAGTTGATTGGAATGCTATTTGGGTTAATTTTTCAAAATTTTATAGTTGATATGAAAGTAGAATCCTTGTGTGAAGTGTTGGACACAATTAAATATATCTGAAAATAATGAAAATATTCATTGTTTACATTTATAGCCATATACATAGTTTATTTATACATTGATTATACATAATTATACACATATAATACATAAATTATGCTTTTATTATACCTCCACTGTCTATTTTCAGTTTAAGCGGTTGGGTGGGCAGTTATTTGGGTTAATTCTTCAAAATTTTATAGTTGATATGAAAGTAGAATCCTTGTGTGAAGTGTTAGACACAATCTTGGATATATCTGAAAATAATGAAAAATAAAAATAGAAAAAGCTAAGCTACCAAGCGTGAGTTCAAATATTAGAAAAGGAGTAAAGTTTTAGACAAAAGAAAGAAAATAGATTTTTTTTTTTTTTTTAAAAAAAGAAGAAAAAACATGCTGGCTATGGGGTTCGAACCCATGCGCACTTATGTGCAGAAGATCTTAAGTCTTCCCCCTTAACCTCTCGGGCAAACCAGCTCTTATGATTTGGTTTGTTGCTAAAAATATTTATTATCAGTTAATATATTACTTATATTTTGAAATCTTCGTGTGTGTCTATGTTTTTTGAAAGTTTGTCTTACTAACAGAGAACTACTCTTTTAGATCTTCATTTAACTATAACTACCAATTTTGACATTAACTTGATGAGTAATCTTATTACGTTCTTTGTTTGTGTGAAAATAATAAAACTTGAAAGCGTTGTCCACTCAAAAAGATTTTAAAAAGAAAAAAGTGGAAAAGAAGAGAGATAAAACTTCGAACTCAACTATTTCAATAACTCGCTTTTTATTTCTTATTTTTTGGGTTGGTTTATTGCCTTATTGGTGTTTTGCCTTATTCTCTGAAATTTTATTTGCACTTGTTTTGATGCACATTACTGACATTTTTCTGAATGGTTTTTTGTATTCACACGGGTTTTTCAAACGCATATTTGGCTTTATTGATCTGATTATTTTATGAATTGTTGGCACGCACACCAGCTGTATTATCCAAATATCCACACCAATAGTCTTGTTTGGCCAAGTTTCTTTTTGAATAAAGGCGTTTTTTTGTTATGTGAAAAGTGTTTTTTAATTAAAGTTAAGGAACAAAGTATTTTTGAATAGAAGTAGAGTTAATTTTTGAGAAAAGGAAAAAAATAGTTTTTCCTAAAGGTACTTTTGAGAAAAATATACTTAAAAGCTTAGTCAAACACTAATGACCGCTCAAATTATTTAGTCAAATACAAATTACTTCCCACCAAATATATTTTTTTTTAAAACACTTTTCAAAATAAATTGGCTTCTTTGCATCAATTTCTCTCAGTACTGACTACTACCGTTTGGTTTCTTTTCCCTTTAGGACACACTGATCGTACTACATAAAATGAAGGGAAATGCAGGTGAGTTCACCAATTTCATATTTGCTACTTACGATCTTACACTACATTTTTTCTATTTTAGTTTGTTCCAAAGAAATGCCTATCTATTTGTATAAGGTCTTCGTTGTTTGTAGCATTTTGTTCAAAAGAAACACATTTCTAACTTAAGCTTTCCATTTTGGAGTATCATAAATTCAAAACAATATATATTAGTATAACATTTCCAATCAATATATATTGTTAATTTTGTAAAGTACTTTTTTTCCAAATAAAATTTGTTTCCAAGAACAACTCAAATTTTGCTTTCTCCCCACAGCCAAAACAATTAAGTCTACAACTCAATCAGTTTTTCCTATATATACATAAGCACTTTTATTCCCCAAGAACGTGGTCAGACAGAAACCACATCCTTAAAGAGAATATGGGATCTGGAAATATCAAATAAAGAAACAGATAATCACATGCTCTGCAGATGCGGCAACTCGTCAAGCAGCAAAAATATAAGCACACAACAAAATACCAATAGGTAACGACCATTAATTTGAATCGATTCTCAACCAACATAACAGTCAACATCGAAATAAAAATAAACCTTCACTAGTACCAGTATGCAGCAAAATTGGACCTAACTCTTGCTTTACATAGGGTAAACCAACGAAAGATGTACTTACTAAATACTAACACACTCTTCTGATTATCATTCCCTCCAACGTTGACAAAACAAAACTAACATCTCCAGGCAAACGATTCTACACCAATTTACTTCCCGACACTATGCTTAGCTTTTGAGTGAGATTCCAGAGCAGTTTCAGAACCAAAAGTCCTGCAAGGAGAAATACATGAATCCAGGGAACAACCTAATGCTCCTAAAATAAATAAAACCGCATTGAAGTTACCTGCTGCACGTCTTGCAGGCAAGAGATCCGCCAGATTTTGGAGTCTGGTTTGACTTGTTTCCAGAAGTCTTACCAGCCTGTTTTGAGGGGTGAGGCGTTGCCACATGGACAGCACCTTTCTTACCATCTAAACCACCCAAAATAAAATACTCAGGAACAAGATAATTTAATCCCATATTAACTTTGGTGAAGATGCAAAAAATGAGCCACTTGCTTTTGTAATATATATATATATTGAACATTAGAGTCAGATTCTCATATTCCCAAGGAATCAAAGGTTATTCCAGTTTCTGGTCCAATTTTCTCATGCAAATCCAAAGGACAGCAGCAGACAGTCCAACATTAGAAAATGCATATCAAAGATTAACATTAAGGTGACAAAAACTAACCAGTCTTTTGAGGTGTTGCAAATTTTGCCTTTTTATCGGGTGCAGGAGTTTTTATAGCTGAATCTGATGGTCGCTTTTTGCTAGGCTCAGCCTATAAAAGAAAATTGACCCAGGTACTGTTAACCCACCTTCCTGCTCAAGAAATTCAGGAGAAAAGAGAGGACCAATAACTACGAGCTACCTTCTTTGGTGTCTCCTCATCAGATTGATCTTCATCACTATCATCTTCATCCTGAACAGAGAATAGTCTATTAAAAAATGCCAATGGAAAGAAAGCATATATCACTAGAAGTGATATCAATGAACCCACATTTAATTAGCAGGAGTACAAAAATATGGAAGCTATGTTATGCAGAACAAAATTTCTTTTGCATTGTGGTTAATGCTTCAGACTGCTGAAGCAACAATTAAGACTATTCGCATAGACCAGAGGATGATCTAAAGCTCAAAACAGATGCAGCGTTCTGCCTTTTCAACATGCACCACAACATTCAAAAACAATCTGATAATCATTTTGATAGCTGTTTTATTGGCAAAAACAATGGCCTAAAGCTGACAATCGCATTTCGGCCCTTTGTTCCTTAAACCAAATATTGGTTGTTATTGGCTACTCGAAAATATGTTAAATAGCAACCAAAGAAATTAAATTGGCTATTGTTTTCTGAAGACCAAACGCAAAAAATATCCTTTGGGAAATAAAATCCAATGCAACTTTATAAAGCTGACCAAGCTCCAAATCTTAAAAAATGAAATCTTGAAAGATCACTCAAATACCAGAGGTTGAATAACCTAATGAAACAACTGACTGAAAATTGTTCAACAAGCTCAAACAAGTATAAACCATTTTTTGTGCTTAACCTAGAGTCTAAGAACCTTGGATGATAACATGCATTACAACAACACTTTTAAGGCATTGAGCATGTATTAGAAAATCATACCTCCCCCATCTCAGAATCTTCTTCATCCTCAGACGTATCATCTTCATCACTGCTATCATCTTCATCATCCGCCTTTGCATCTTTACTAGGTTCCGCAATCTTCACCTTCTGCTTACCTGA